AAAAAAATCACCTTTACTTTACATGCCAATCCATATTCAATAACACGCATATCCATCACACATCCTCTTGATTTCCATACTTGTGACCACCCATATCTTGCCCTCTCTTCTTAAACCTCCTTCGATGGTGCTTCTCGTCGAATTTCAATCTACCCGTGTCCTTAAACTTGTCTCTTAAAACCGGATCAATAACACATTCTGGCAGAGGCACAGGGTACCTCACCTTGTCATAGCAATACGAGTAGTACATGTACTTTGACCTAAATCTCTTCATGGCCGCCGCTTGTTTAGGGGTAACGTTAGCAAAATCGGCACTCGCGAGCTGATTGTGGCTCAGTGCACAACCGGTGGCCACGACTTCCTCTAACATGTCGGTCGCGCAACCGTGGAGGACGAGATCAGTGAATTCTGCCACGAAAGGGGCGTATTTGTAATTTGCTTTGTATTTCCCGCCAGAGGTAGCCCAATCAGAGGCGTCCCAAATCGTGGCGTATAATCTCATGGGCTTTGATGGGAAATCGGCCCCCATAGCTTCGTTCCTCGTTATCTCACGGATTGGGGTATCGTCGATGTAAAATCTGCAAATCAATTTCGAAAATCGAATTCAATTGAAAACTAATAAGTCTACTTTAATCTTGTGTCAATTTTTTCCAAGCTAAGCTATGCTTAGACTATCATAGTACAAGATAGCTATAGTATTATTTTATATAGCTATAGGTTCATGCAAATCCTAATTGAGGTACTGTATGTTAGGCAAGCCACCGAAAATTCTTCACTCTGTATTAAAATATCATTAATTGAACTTTACACTTGTAGTTTTGATTCGATAATGCAAGGACTAAAAGCAAAGGATCTTTCCCGTTAAGCAAAGGATCATTATGCTAAGCGTGATAAAGACAGCACGAGTATATATTTATGTTTACCTAAACGAATCAAGTGTCTGAACCTAACAATAAGTAAAGTGTTTGAAATTAATTGAGTAGCGGAAAAAGTATATTTAGTTTACTTGATGACGTTAATTAGCGTGATTATAAAAGCAGGAGCGACACGATCTTTTCACATATCAATCAATTTTTCTTTGCACCAATTGAGCCAATTGATTGTGGCTTAGGCCTAACTTTTGATAAAAATATGTTCACACTTGGGATGATTAAGTTATAACCTTTCACACGCAATAAATATTGTACCAAAGTGCTTTTCTTTCGTGAAATTCCATTACAAGCNAAAAATATTATTTTTTGTAATTTATATTTAAAATATTATTTTTTTTGTAATTTATATTTCACATACTTATAATACACTATAATAAATATTTTTAGCAAAATTAGAAAGTAAGAAAATAAATCTATAGAAATTATATTTATGAAAAATGTAATAAATATTATTCTCAAAATATTGATAAGTGAATTTGAAAATTAATAATTGAAATATTATTTTTATTAATAATGTAAATATGTAATAAAAGTAAGAATAATATTTAAATATGCTTTCAATTTTTTATTACTTCACTTTTATATTTTTTTTTATTTTTATTACATATTTTGATCTACTTCGGAATTTTATTACATATTTAGATTATTAATCAAAATAATATTGAAGTTATATATTTTTAAATTCTCTTATCAATTTTTTAACAATAAAATTTATTAAACTTTGCATAGAACATAACATATATGGATTAATTTTCTAATTTCAATTAATTGTTACATATAGTTAACATTTTTTGTCATGTATGTAAAATATATATTATGGTTCACAACGTTGGGCTTTACATTGAAGAATTAAATTATCTAAATTGATTCACATGAAACAATGGCATTTCTTGATGAATAAAAATGAACATATTTTCTCCTTATAACTATCTAAATTGAAATAAATTAAAAATACGAAGCTAATATAACTGAATGTATTATATTTGACCAAAAGAAATCTATTTCATTTTCTTTTTTTTGCCAAAACTTCGAAAATCCAATAATGAGAATAAAATTAACTTTGGATTTCCATGTGACTCGTAACAGTATTTCTTTAACTCCTAACTAGTACGTGTAACCCGTGCGATGCACGGGCTGTAATTATTTGGTGGAATATTATAAATTGAATGAGATGAATCAAAAAGTAATAAATATTTTAAATTTAGTCATGAAATGTATTTTTTTCATGAATGTAGTTTTTTTTTTATGTTCGTACAGGTGCTTTTTTGTATGGCTGTGATAGGATATTTATTGTCCTCATACTCGTTTTTAAGAGCAACAAATATCTTTTAACATCAACATCAAATATGAAATAAAATATTTTGGATATTATAAATTGATGTGATAGATATCAAAGACTGTTTATCTCATGAAAATGCTAGTTTTATGGCAATTTTAGAAAACAGTTACCATAGAATGTGGATTCTGTGATTATCTTGTTTATTATTTCAGTCATTTTATTCATCAAATGAAAATGTAATATTTTAAATTATTTTGTACGTTCAATAAGTGATTTAGTTTGTCTAATTTGTAGTTCTTGTGATAATATATATTGACGTGATAAATTATTATGTTTATCAACTGAAATGAAAATATTAAATCAAGATTATAAAATTGTTACGTTAATATTGGATTCGTGATTATCTATTTATTTCACGATTTGTGATTATCTATTTATTTTAACATTTTTTTATGATTCATATCATTGTAATTTTATACATTGAATGAAAGTGTAATCTTGTAATTTATTTTGTTAGGTTCCATAAGAGATCTAGTTTGTATAATTTGTAGTTAATGTGATATATTTGTATTGACGTGATAAAATATTGTATTTATCAGTATAAAGGAAAGATATTAAATTGAGATTTTTAAGCAAACTCTGTAAATCAGATCTTTACCAACAAAAAAAAAAAGAGAGAGATAACATTAAAAAGAAATCGTGTATTAGAATTTATCCAAAAGAAAAACCAAAAATAAAAACTGAATATTAAATGAAGATTTTTAAGTAAACTGTGTGAATCAAATCTTTTCCGAAACAATATCGAAAACTTTACAAATAAATCGTGTGTCAGAATTTCTCCAAAATCAAAACCAAAAATAAAAACTGATTTTCATTTCAAAATGCAAAACAAAAAATATGCTAACAGACTTGATAAAATAAAAGCTACCCATATCATAACAAAATCCGATTTTTTTTTGCCAACAATTACTATATATAGGATACATTTAATGTATTTGGCGGGAAAACATTTCTAAAATTGTAAAATGGTTATTCTTTTTATATAATGATAGATTCTTGAGTCTGTCCTTTTCTTACGCTTTGAAAATCATGGCCGCCCAAAAATCACGCTAACAAGATTTTAATGGCAGTATTGAAAAGGTCAAATTTCAGTGGCAGCCCCAACTGGGAATTGAAAATCTTGAAAAGGAAATATAGTAATAATAAAAAAAAAAAAAGATAAAGTAAAGTTAGACAAGGAAATAGAGAAGTTACTTACATAATATTCTTGGTGGTCCAAAGTATGCTGTAAGTGTGAAACTCTTTAGAAGGGTCAAACCAAAGATAATATCTCTCCTCTCGCCCTCTGCTTGTGCTTCCATTTCCATACATATTTGTCTGAAATCTCCACGCTTTCCCTCTTATATTTCCCAGAAACTCAAAATCCAGTTCGTCGTGGGTTTTTCGAAATATATCTCCATTTGTTGTCTGCAATTAGTTAATTAATCGGATTAGTGTAAAAATTATTTAACATTAGTTGTTATACTATCATGGTGCATAATTTTGGAGAATTAATGGGGAATTAATTTGGATTGAATATTTATGTGTTACACGTACATAAAAGGCGACCACGATGCCTGCGGTGTAATCTGATGGCAGCTTTATTTTAGCACTAAAGAAGCCATGATTGTAAAGGTCCGAAGACTGAAAGCCTGAGCCTGTGAAATCATTAAAAAAAGAAAAAAGAAAAACACAAATTATACTTTTTAATTCATTAATAATACGATAGTTCTTGTGTATGCATCTATCTCGTATCCTTTTTCAAGATTAGTAGTTAGGTACAACCAATCTTGTTTAAATAAAATTTATAAATAAATACAACCTGAAAATTCTTTTCCCCATAACAAAATAATAATAATAATAATAACAAAAATTGAAAAAGTTGTCTGCAAATTGAATTACGATCAAAAGGATAAAGCGAGAGATTTCATAACAATTTTATCTTAAAGCATGTTACAAACGAATGAATTAAAGAGAATTAAAGCGGGTGCACACACACATACGCTCACATACGGGTGTGTGTGAGAGTGTATTATGTTGAAGAAGAACATGCCTGTGTACTGATTGAGATGAAGTTGAACGGATTGATGGTCGGGAGATGGTTTGATATTCGGTCCGCCGAAAAGAGGGCTGAACCCTTTGGAATATGCAACAGTTGATACGCCGTTGAAGGCGGCAGAGACGCCACAAGTAACTATTAGATGGAGAAGAAAGATGGGCAGATACCAGTATTTGCTGCAGCTAATAGCCATTATTTCTCCTTTTTTTTTTTTTTG